GACCTCCTTCTTTCCCCACTCCTCAGACAAGAGGCCAAAACCTTGGACAAGACTTTACTTTCCTGTTCTTTATTAAAAGAACCAAATTATCTCTCTTTTTAATTTTTTTTATTTTATTTTATTTTTTTATTTTATTTTATTTTATTTTATTATTTTATTATTTTACTAGAGGCCCAGTGCACGAATTCGGGCACCAGTGGGGTCCCTAGGCCTGGCCTTTAGGATTGGGCCAAAACCAGCTCTCCATCATCCTCTGAGGGGTTCTGGATTGTGAGAGGGTGCAGGCCAGGCTGAGGGACCCCACCAGTGTATGATTGGGGCTGGGGAGGGATTTGGGAGGTTGGCTAGCTGGGGAGGAACCATGGGAGGGCTCCAGGGTGAGCCTGGCCCATCTAGCTCAGTCCTGATCAGCCTGACCCCAGCAGTAAGCTAACCTACTGGTTGGAGCGTCTGCCCATTGGTGGTCAGTGCACATCATAACAAGTGGTTGAGCAGCCTTAGCATATCATTAGCATATTACACTTTGATTGGTTGAATGGCCAACCGGACGACTGGACACTTAGCATATTAGGCTTTTATTATGTAGGATTTTTAAATTGTTTAAAGTATTACATATGTCTCCTTTTTCTCTGATTTAACCCCCCAACACTCCCATACCACAGGACAAGCCCTCTCCACCCCGGTGTCCATGACCATTGGTTATACTAATATGCCTGCATACAAGTACTTTGATTGATCTCTTACTCCCCATCCTGACTTCTCTCTGAGGTTGTAAGTTCTATTCAGTGTTTCTTTATCTCTGAATCTATTTTTGTTCATCAGTTTGTGTTGTTCATTATATCCCACATATGAGTGAGATCATGTGATATTTATCTTTCTCTGACTGGCTTATTTTGCTTAGCATAATGCTCTCCAGTTCATCCATGCTGTTGCAAATGATAAAAGTTCCTTCTTTTTTATAGCAGTACTAGAGGCCTGGTGCATGAATTCGTGCATGGGTGGGGTCTGGCCAGCCTGCCCCAATCGGGGCTGATTGGACAGGGCTGGCTAGGGAGGTGGCCACAGATGGTTGGCCTGTTGGCCCTACACCCTGGTCAAACACTTGGGAGAGGGGACAATTTGCATATTAGCTTTTTATTATATAGGACTAGAGGCCCAGTGCACAAAAACTTGTGCACTCAGGGGGAAGGGGAGTTCCCTCAGCCTGGCCTGTGCCCTCTCGCAGTCTGGGACCCCTCAGGAGACAACGACCTGCGGGCTTAGGCCTGCTCCCGGGTGGCAGAGGGCAGGCCCATTCCCTAGGTGCAGCCCCTGATCAGGCTCAGAGCAGGGCTGATTGGGGAGTTGGGGCGCACCCCCTGTCATGCACAGAGCAGGGCGGATTGGGAGGGTGCGATGCCACCCCCAGTCACGCTCAGGGTAGGGCTGATTGGGGGGTTGGGGCACCGTCCTCTGTCACACTCAAGGCAGGGTCGATGGGAAGG